ATTTTTTTAATATTTATTTAATTTAAATATTAAAATATAATATAAATATAATTGATTTAATGAATTTTTTCATATTATATGTATAATTATATTTTTAAATTTGTTTATTTTTAATTTTATATTAAAAATAATAATTTTTTAATAAATATATTATGTAGTGTATTAAATTAAAGAGTATTTTAATTAATCAATACCTTTTTAATTTTTTTTTTATAAACAATCAATATCCTTTTTAATAATATTTCATTTTTGACTGATAAAAAATATACATTTCCTCTGCTTTGTTACTGTTCTTATTTTCCCTAACATCGTATGTATCCTGTTGGAATACCCTTACATATACCCATTGATTAAATAAGTTTATTTTACTGATAAAAAAAAATTTCAATTGGTTTTGGGGATGTTTAGAGACTTCATCTTTGAGGTTGGTATATTTAATGCAGGTCGTCCAGGAGCGGTTTGTTCAATCCGTTAACTCTGTAATTAACTACTTGTATCAATATATATCCAACTTTCAGATGTTAAATTTTGTGAGTGTTGCTGACAAACAAAAAAAAAAAAGAGGGGGGGGGGGGGGGGGGGGGGGGAGAGGGGGATTTTGTAAGTGTTGGAATTATACCCATTATATTTTGGTAATACGAGTATATTCATAACGGAAGCCGTGCCAAAAAGAAAAGGGGGAAGAAAAAGAACTATCTCTCTTTCCTACAAAAAATGAAGTAAAACAAAAGGCATGCTTTTGTACGAAACTATCTGGAAGAAAATTATTTATAGGCAACTTTTAGTGGTACAAAATCTTTACATAATTTTATATGGCATTTAACATTAACTCTTTTTTTTTTTTTGGAACATGCATGAGAATAACATTAACTCTTTTTATTTAATTAAATGTGAAATATTATATGTATCATTAATTTAATAATATTAAAATTTAAAAATAAATATTATATAAATAATTTTTTATGTATTTTTTTAATATTTACTATTAAAATATCACCAAATCAATTTTTACATATTTTAAAATTAATTTTTTTTGTATAATTTTAGAAATACACATCTCATATCAACTTAATATATCTTTAAAAAATTAATTTTTTTAAAATAGTAATTTTAAAAACTTAAATTTTAAATATAATTTATAAAAGAATATGTGTTAATCAATCAATCTAATTTTAAATTTATTGTCCATGTATTACGACCTTAATGTAATGGGAAAGAGGAAAGAAGATTACTCACGCAATGGAGTTGCGTTTAATTTATTTTAAGGGGAATGAGGGTCAAGGTCGACCGCTATGATCTCCCTCAAATCGATATGATAGTTTATGATAATAACGTACGTGGCTCAAAATAATTTGCATGCCACACTTTCTTGGTGCTTTCTCTTTCAGGTGTAAGCCGAGGAAAAAAATTAATGTTTTATTTATAAAATGTGGTGCTCTTGAATTAATTTGTGTAAAATTTTTTACTAATAAGAAATAATTTTTTTGAATAATTTAAGAGCACAAACCTTTTACATCATTAGTTTGGTAAAAATTATTGACCTGATAATTTGAACTAAACCTAACTTATAAATATTTTATGAGGTCTTGAGTTTAAGTATATATATGGTATGTGAACAGAGTAGATAATGTTATTTTTTATTATAAAATTAAAAAAATTGTTAACATATTTAATAATTGAATTACACAAAATAACTCTCCATTTTTTTAATTTCTCTTTGGTTTTAAAAATTTTAATTTAAAATTTTTAATAATTTAATATACTCAAATAAAGTTTTTACAAATTTAAATTTAAATTTTTATTATAAAAATGTAAAATGTTTTTATATTTGTGACAAAAAAATCACTTTAACTATTAAAAGTTAATTCAAAACCTGTAATTTAAAATTTTAAATTCTTCGGTATCACTACAGATTCCCTACGAAAATGAAAACGTTATTTTCAGTTTTTTTTTAAAAAAAAATTCAGGAGATTAGATTAATAGAAAGCAACCCAAAATGCGAAAGAGAAGTTTCTAGGAAAACAATTCCCATCATATCAACGATAAAATATAACAAAATGCCAGAGGATAGGCACCGAGTGAGTTTTGTTTGTGAGCAGGGTACAATAATAATGTCACTTCAATGCTGAGCAGCTCAATTAATTATAAAGGAGAATATCCTCTTTGTCGAGCTTCATCCTGCGGTCCAGTGGTAGTGCCAATAAGGTGAAAAATTACTTATTTTAAAAATTGAATCTTTAATTATTAATGATTTTTAACTTAACTATTAATCATTATTTTTATTTAAAAAAAAAAAAAGAAAAAAAGTTAAAAAAAAAAAAACCTATTTATCCCTCTGCCTGCGGGACCGACATTAGCTTGGAATCCTCAGAGCACTGCACCGGATAAAGACACTAGTTATAATAAATAATAATAATAATAATAAACCATTCTGACGACCTTCTTACACTCCAACCGAGGAAAGGATTTCCCCTGAGTTGAGTCGTCTAAAAAGATATTTAAATTTGAGGCATATATAAGTCCAAGTTTTAAGATGAACGCTTTAAAATATTTAGTAATTTTTTAAATGACGTAGGTAGATGCAATTGTGTTTTAAAAATTGTTAAAACAGTAATTTTAAAATATATAAACTAATTTAAAAAAATACTTTGACTTTATTAATTAAAATTATGTCATGCTGTCATAATTATAAATTTTTTATCTTTTAATATCCAAAACTATAATAAAATATAATATTAATTAGAATTAATAAAATATATAATTAAAATCAGTTAAAAATTAAAATTTTAAAATTTTAAATAAATATTGCATAAATTAATATGTATACAAAACACTTAACGAAGTCATGGTCTCAAAAAAAAAAGAAGTGCGTATAACAAGACACCAGCAATATTCAATATCCATGCATGAATGAATTTTTAAAAAACCCAAACCAAAACGTCCCCGGCGTTTGTAAAAAAATTAGTCCAAAGATATATATTCCCCAGCCTTTTTCTTTTTTCTTTTTTTTGAATAATAGCATTTTTCTAAATCATACTTCCAAAATAATTAGCCCAAATATGTATATATATATATATACATATATTCCCCCCCCCTTTTTTTTTTTTTATGAATAATAGCATTTTTCTAAATCATACTTCCAAAATAATTAGCCCAAATATGTATATATATATATATACATATATTCCCCAGCCTTTTTTTTTTTATGAATAATAGCATTTTTCTAAATCAAACTTCCAATATTTACTGTCACGAAGTTCGACGATTCCTCTCCCTTTCAAGAACAGGCCTCCTCTAAATGAAATAATGCCAACCCAATGTTCATCATTCAGAAATCTCTCTTTTTTTAACAAACGTTTTCACACCCCTGACCAAACCCACCTACCATTTACCTAAAACTAAATCAGCCACTCATTGCCTATCTTCATAGAAAAAAAAAAAAAAACTATATCAGCCACATATATACTGTTGAATCCCAGTCAACTATATATTTTTGTCGTCTCTCCTTACAGCCCTCATGAAAATTACGCGGACATTTTCATTACCATAATTTATAAGCAACGTGCGCTTTGACAATTTAATTAAAGAGAGCGACTGTTATATTATAATCTTTAATTTAATGTATTATATAAAATATTTATTAAAAATTATTATATTTTAATATGAGTGTCTCTCTATAAAAAAATTATTATATAATTTAAACTATATTAAATTATAAAATTTAAATTTCTTAAAGAAAACATACTTTTTAATATTTAACATTAATGGTTTTTATTTAACAGTTTTTATTTTACAATCTAATACACTATAGATTGCAAAACAAAATTTTCATGTATGTACAAGTGTACATACATGCCCTAATTAATCAGCATTTAACGCATACAATCAAATTAACAAAATTAAAAATTATAACAAATCAACGTAATGTAACAACACGCCCAAGACGTGCACGACTCAAATTTAATGCAAGCGCATCCACCTTGATTTTATGTTATGTCCTATCGCTTGACTTTAATTATTTACCTTAATATTGAAACTTTTTTCTTTATTTTTATTTTTTAAGAATAATATAGATAAAAGTGAAAAAAATAAAAAGTAAAAAACATTTTGAGATAAATAAAGTACATATACTATAGTATGTTTTAGTAATTATACAATTGGAATCATTTTCATGATCTTGATTGTGCATTGAACTATAAAACAAGAAAAATTAGGTAGAGAGGACAACTCTTCATATTAGGATGTTTGTTCTATCAAATGATTTAAGTTATGTAATTTACAGTAATTCAAATTGCACAATATTTTTGTATAATTATTATACAAATATAAAGTTATTTTTCTAATTTTTTTATCAGCAAAATACTTTTTTAAAAACAATTTAGTATCTAACACTATAAAATACTTTTTGCGATAACCAAAAAAAGGGAGAGGAAAAGCTTAATCAACCAAAATACTGCTCAATTTTCTCAAACGCAACCCTGTTGCAATAATGGTAGGAAAAAAAATAGTATAATGGTCTTCCACTCTATTAGGTTTAGCTATCACATAAGGAATAACTAATAGTTAATAGTTGATATTTCATAATTATAATTAAATATGAAATTATAATTAAATATGAATTTTTTTTATAATGAAAATTTTGATTTTTTTTCCCTCAAAAACCTGTTAATGCAAGTCCTTCGTATATGTTTGAGATATGAATCAAAGCTAACTTTAGTAGAAAGGAAAAAAAAAAAAAAAACCTTTTACTCTTTTTTAAAACTTTGCACAAATTGTAAAGAGAGGGAATACCCATTGTACCCCATTTAATAAACTCGAAAAATGATGTGTGCACACCTGAATTTAATACCCAGGTGTGCACACTCCAATAAAAAAAAAAAAAAGAGAACACTCGGTTTTTTTTTTTTTTTTAATGTGGAGGGTGCACACCTGGGTGTTGAATCCGGATGTGCACCAATTGTGGTCCAATAAACTCTTCTTTGCCAATCACAAAATAGGGGGAGAAAAAAGGAACTTTATTCAAAAGAACTTTCACGTCTTAATACATCAATACAATTTTTTCAAAAAACCTAACAATAACATCAACGTAAGCTAACTGTCATCCTTTGCGGCTATAACTTTTTATCTTTGAAATGCCTTTCGAGTCTCACAATAATCCTCATAAGTAGCGGCAGTAAGAAGATTAATTGAACTTAAATTAGAGCATCTTCCCCCTAAATCCTAATAATATTCTTACATGCTGCTTACACAAGTACTACTACAAAGTACAAACAAAAGTTCAGGTTCTGTGATCAGCAAAAACACAGGGACGGCAAAAAAAAAAAAAAAAAAATGCAAAAACACACGAAACGTATATATGATTGTGCTTCCTGAACTTAGTAATAAATGTGATTTCTTTAAAAAAAAGCGCACGCACACACAAATGGAAACTCGGTTCCAGCTTTTTAACCTCAAAAAATATTGATTACTTCACAGATCCCAGAACTCATCCAGATCCAAGAAAAGCTCCTCGTCACCAATCATTTTTGAGTCACTGGTTTGTCCGGCCGAATGGGATGGAGTATTTCCTTGTTCTCCGGATGAGGAAGTCTCTGGCGAGCTTTCCATTCTCTGATCTTCCATTTGAGGGTTCTGTTGAGACGTTCCTGCCACGGCGGATGGAACTTGCTGAGTGGCACTTGGCTGGGGTGGCGGCAGTGCTGGTGGCGGCCGCCTGTCAAAGGACCTCAGGCATTTTGATTTCTTGTACACTCGACACAGGCTGAATTCATGTCTTAACTGTAAATATATATAGATTCAGAAAATCAGAATAGACATATATGCAAGAACTTGCACCGGACAAAATTAGAAAACCCTCAAACCCCATATGGCACAATTTTCCATCAAATTTTTTGATGTGGCATTGAGGGACACATGCATCTAGCTTTGAGAGGATTTGCAAGAAATTATCTCAACCCTTCTAAAAATTTAAGGGATCTAATTCTAACACCTTGTTAATTGATGTTTGATTCTTAAGAGAAATCATGAGAAGAAAATTCTTTGTGGAAACAAAATTTTCAAATTTCCTTGTACTACAGCTAGACCAGATAATTATGGTAGAACAGTAGAAGGAAATTTGTTTTTTTTTTTTTTTTGATATGATAGAAGGAAATTTGTTATTTTTTGTTATACATCAAACATTAGTTATGTTTTATGCCAAGAAATATTGCTTTATTGCACTTGCCGCGTTTAGCGGGAAGTGCAAAGCATTTGTCATGTTGGAATTAGCTCTATCCCCAAATTCCCTACTGTTGAAACAAACGTGGCTTGAATATAAAACGATATATCTAGGATTCCTCGATCCAAAAGAGAATAAAAGAAAAAAAAGAAGATATTATAATGGATGAGAATGAGATGTAGTTTCTTACAGCAGGTGGAGTGGCAACGCCGGCGGCGGCGGCGGCTGTGGAAGAGGATGCTTCGCCATCAATAGCTTTGTACTCATTCATTTTCCACTCCGTTTTCTTCCCGTTGGGAGCTCTTCCATTGTAAAATACCATCGTCCTCTTGACGCCAATGGGGCGGTTGGAGGAATAGACAAAACCTGGAGAACCGGTGGCTTTCCAGTACCCAGTAGTCGTCAGCCGTCGTGGTCTCCCTCCTCGGGCTTCACTCTCCTGCCTCGGGATGAAGAAAAACCATTGTTCCGGGTCTTTGTGGCACAAATACACCGAAAATTCTGCATCAATTACAAAAAAAATAAATAAATGCGAAACTAAAAAGAATCTTAAACGGGAAAACTAAAATTAAAAAGATGATTACTCCTACATTATATACAGGGAAACAAATTCAAATAAAATCATGCTTTTTCTTCTTTATGACCTCCGATAATGTAAATGGAAATTTTAAAGAGTTAAAGCAATTAGAACATGAAAATGTTTATGTACTTTTATTATATCTTAATCGATATATATATATATATATAACATACACCCCGAGCTGGAAGCAATGCAACTTGTTTCGAACTCTAAAAATCAAAATCATCAGAAAAAAAAAAAAACAAAATAACAAAAAAAACTCGAATTCGAGTTGATTTTAAGTATGAAATTAGTTTGCATGAAGACAGACTTACTTGATTTTTGAGACTCTATTTGATGTAAAAAAGACAGACAAATCAGATAAAGAAAATGAAGAAATTTTACGTGGAAGATCTGAGGGATTGTAGTCGTAAATGTCGACGACGGGAATAACCCGATCCATGAGGCGGTTCAGGTCTTGCCTCGTCCCTTCCAGCTTGTTTTTCAGATAAAACGACACCAGCTCCTCTTCCGTCGGATAGAACCGAAATCCCGGCGGCATATCCTCCATTGTCACTCTAATTTTTTAGCAAGACACTCTGTTTTTTTTTTTTTTTTTTTTTGGATGGTTTCAACAAGACTGATATTGCCTGGAAAGTTTGCTCTTAATATTTTGTAACTTCGGTTGCGCGGTGTAGAGATATATATAACTATAGGATTGTGGAAGGAGGTTAGGCAAAGAAGCAGAAAGAAAGAAGAAGAAAAGTGAGAAAGGGGAATAGGTTTTTGCTTGGAAATTTCCACGCGCTTGTATGGAAAGAATAATGTCTCGTAACTCTAGCCACTATACCCCACGGTTTCAACACCCTTTGGAATCCGTCAATGATGATGAATTAATCTCCTGTTTAGGGATCCGCTGTTGATTGGTTTACCTGCTAATCAAGTAAACTGTAAATCCAATAAGAAAAAAGGCTTATCATTTTTTCTTGAATAAGTCTCTTTCTCTCTCTCTCCTCTTTTTCTTTTTTTTTCTAACACAACTTTTTTAAAAAGTGGTTTTTGATTTTAGAAGACTATAAAGTTTGTGTGTACATTCACTCTTAAGGGTAGATCTTTGCGAAAAAAAAAACAAAGAATTTTGTTCCGTTGAAAAACATAAAACAAAGAATTAATGTCAAATAAAAAACTTAATTTGACGAGTAGATTTTCTTAGCATTGCATTAACAAATTTTTTATAAAAAAAAAAAAATCAAGAGTTGAATCTATTAATAAAAAAGTGTTTGTTTGATAAATCAAATTTAAGATTAAAGTTTTAAGGTTAATACCTAAAAAATTAATCTATTTAAATGGAATAGGCTGATGTGAAGATGTGCACTAATCACCGATGAAGAGATTAGTCGAGATGTGGAACAGCTAACACAAAGATAGCTTTACCAGCCAAAAAAATTGTACTACTTTTTTTTTTTTTTTTTTAACATAGAATAAAACAAGTACAAGTATACATAGTATTAAAGAAAAAGTGTTTTTAAAATTATTATCCTAAATGTTTTTTTGGATGACCTATTTAAAATCTCATTTTCTTTAATTAATGATTTTAAAAACTATCAATTAGGTTGAAAACTTTATTCATATATGTTATATATGTTATGTATGTCAATTTTCAAATAAAACTAAATATTAATAAAAGAATAGTTAGGCTTATTATATCTATATAAAAATTCATATGTATAATTTATATAAATAGAATTTTCAAATCTAATTGTTTGGTTAATTTGCCAAACTATCCAAATAATTTTGGTTATCCAAAATTACAACTGAATTAAATTGTCGGTTTGGGTTTGACATGAAAGTCTCATTGGAAATTTTTTTTAATAACCAAAAAATTGGTTAGGTTCAAATAGTTTCAAATGAATACCTAGCTCTAGTCATATATATATATATATATATATATATATATGTAAGAGTAAAACCTTTAGGCTGTGTTTGGTTAGAGGACAACCTTTTCATAAAAGGTTTTCTTAAAAAAATAATTAATTAAAGTACTATATAGAAATTTACTATATAAGTTTTGAATGAAATTTTGTTAAATTTTGACAATACTGTAGTTACAATCACTAGCAAAGATAAAGGGGGACATGAGGAGGCACAGGCTCCCCTAGACTTTTGAGAAATAAAAATTTTAGTCCATTAAATTATATTTTTATTATTTCTATCATTGTTTATTTTATACATTTTAATCATTTTTCAATCCTTTTTTTCCAAATTAGTTTTAGTAATTATGAAAAATGAGGAAAATAAAGACAAAATAAAATATAAGAAAAAATAAAGATTAATTGAATGCAAAATTATTTAATATTATTTTTTATAAATAGTTGTTAATTAATATTCATTTTTTTTTCATTAATACCCTTTTACTTTTTTTTTGGTTATTAGTGTTCTTCTATTCAATATATGTTTATTTTATTTTTCAATTGATATCTTATATATAATATTATATTGTCAATTAATATTAGTTTATTGTTAAAGACTAACAAATTTAAATTTAAAATAATTTTTTTAATTAAAATTTTCTTTTTATTATTTTTTTTTTTATCAACCAATAGAAACTTTTTATTAAATGGAGCACAAGGGGTGCTCCTACCCATATATAACACTTACAACCCACAAGTGAGAAATAACCAACTCCTTAGAACCAAAAATTAACAAAGCCCAAAAACCAAATCAATTTTTATTAATTTTTTAATTAATGCAAAGACACTTTTTTTTTTGTCAAAATTTTGTTCCCCATAGAAAGTTTTCCTAGGTCTGCCATTAGTTATAATAACACGTAGGATTGTATGATTATAATAATGATATGACATTAAATAAGTATGATATGATATTAAATAAGTGGATTTATACAATTTTATGGCTAGACCATTAAATGAAATGAGTTAATTATATTATAATACATCATATTGTACATTTATAATATTATGTGACATCATAAGTATAGCATTTTTGTTAAAATTTTATTGAATTGTTAATTGTGTTATATTTGATAAGAAATTAATATAGAAAAACTAATAGAGAAAGTTATTAAGTGAATCCCATATAAGAAAAATTGTAAGAAACTTTTTTAGTTAAAAGATAAAAAAAAATTTTGCTAGTTGAAAATTAAATCAAAGAAAACAAAAATTAAAAATATCACTTTTAAATTTTATTTATTATAATTTTAAGATATATATAAATACCAAAATACATTGGGTTAAAGCCAACTGTAGTCCCTTTACTCTTAATTTTTATTCATGTGCATTCCTCTACTAAGGATTTGTTCATTGTCATCCCTCTACTTTCCTAAAGGCACTAAATATCATCCTTATACTCCCCTTATTTTGTTTATTGTCATCCTTTTATTAACGGCGTTGTTTTAGCCACCTATTTGGACCGTTTAACCCACAAACGATCAATTGTTGAAGCATTTCTTGTAATTATATTATTCCAAGTGTTTTGCCAGCTAGGAGGAGAGAAGGATTGGGTACCGGATAGTGGACATGCATGTTTGCTATTTTCAAACGAGATTTTGCTTAATCCAAAACAAAAGATATTCTAAGTGTTGTGTCTTGTGTTTGAATTGTAATAAATAAGTCATAGACATAAACATTTTAGAATTTTTTAATTTATGCATGTTAAAGGTTTATTTATTATATTTTTTTTATTAATTTATATAAAAATAAAAATTAACTTTAATTATATTAATTATACAGTTAAATTGTTTAACGTAGCATAAATGCTAAGAATAAAGTTTACTTTTATAATTTTCATAAAAATTAATAGAGAAAATATATAATAAATACACTCTTAGAATATAGATAAATTTTTTATATTAAATCTATGATGTTAGGTGGCTATTGAAATATATTTTTTTTCAAACTTTGCCTTAAAATATAATTAATACATCTTTTAGTCACTTAATATGAAGAATAAAAAAGCTAAATTAATTTTAATGCTAATGTTATATGTATTAATTTAATTGATTATTTGTTAAAATTAAAATTAATAGTATTTAATTTTCTATGTAATTTAATAGTTAAAGATTGTATCAGTTACACTCTTAATTGTTTCCTTAAGGCATATATTAAAAGGTTTTTCTAACTAACCTTTTTATCATAAATGTATATGGAAAAGAAAGTAAAAATTGATATTAATTTTAAGATTAGCGTCAAGTGGATAAATTTAATTAAATAGTTAATAAGTTAAAAGTCAATTTTTGTTTTTTCAATACAAATATAAAATAAAAATGTATATTTAATACATCATGTTAGAAAGATCGTCTATTAAAAAAGAATTTTTTAATGTGTGTATCTTTTCATTATTAATTTGTATAAAAAATAAAAATTAACTATAATTTTATTAAGTATCTAATTAAAATATTTCTTGTAGAATTGATGTTAAAAATAAATTTTACTTTTGCAATTTTTTTATATAAATTGTGAAAAAATACAATAAATGTGCTCTTAACATATGCCCTAAAACCTTATAAAAAAAACTCATTAAAATAATTTTAACAACTTTTTTTAAATTAAGTTTAACATTAAGTTTTCAGTAATAATGAATCTTTACATTTACCTTTCTACTCAATATAAAATTTAAAGCATCACAATTTATTAACTCAATATGTATACTTACTAATACATTATATAATATAGTTCACCTCTTTAACTAAAAATTGCTAGTTTATAATAGTTGGGCTAAATGTGAATTACTGTAAAAGCAAATAAATATAAGAGATAAGATTAGAAATAAACAACAAAAATGATTTAATTTGAAAGAAGAAGTGGAGCAGGACATTGACTAAAGGGTGCTTCTACCCTCCTAGTTGGCACCATATATGAAAAAAGAAATCCAAGAAATGCTTCAACAATTGACCGTTTATGGATTAAACAGTTCAAATAGACGACTAAGGCAACTCCGTTAAAAAAGGATGACAATGAACAAAATAATCGGAGTACAGGGACGACATTTAGTGCTTTTGGTGAAGTAGAGGGATGACAATAGACAAATCCTTAGCATAGGGATGGACATGAATAAAAATTAAAAGTAGAGGGACGGCGGTTGGCTTTAACCCAAAATACATTATAAAATTCTAAAAAGGAACATTTTCAAGAAAGTGAACCGCACACCCCTTTGTATCATTTTGGTCATTAAATATTTATTCATTATCAAATAGTCCCTAAACTTTTTTTTTCTCTCCTTTGTTCCTTTCATCAATGTGAAAATGACACAACACTTTTTTGTAATAATATGACTATTTTAACCTTTAGTGGACAAATTTGGGCTAACTAATTAATTAAAACATACTATATACTATTAATGCAAGCATAAGAAAATAGTTGAGAAGATAAGTTTAAAGACCATTGAATGGCTAAGAGAAAATTAACGTCGAAAATAGGACCAAGTCATTCACTTTAGGGACCAGCTCACATGTTAAACCATTTTAGTGGAGATTACGTGACGACTACGTGACCTTTGTTAAAACTAAAGGGTCCTCAAGTCGTTTGACCACAAATAATAGAGTTGCATTGTCATATTAGATTGTATATTTATAGTTTTTATAAATTAGTTTATACATATAATATTATAATATTATGAGGAAGTTATTAAACTTAGAAAATTAATCATATAATTATATGTAAATTTATAAATTTATAATATTATGTGATATTATAATTATATTATTTTTAGTCATTTTATTAAAAATTGATATATGTATATATAATTCTCTCTTCTCAAAATAATAAATATTTTTTTATTTAAAAGAATCTTTGAAGTAGTCATTTTACATATTTTAAAGGAAACAATTTTTTTTTTAATTTTAACCTTATTATTATCTCTCAATTTTAATTATTTATCATATCATAAAAATGTTTCTTTATTTTTATTTATTTAAGGGTAGAGTTGTTTATCACTGATCTAAACTGACTAATTTTTCGTTCTAGTTAAAATTCAATTCAAACCAACAATAATTTAGGTTGGCTTAGATTATAAAATTTTAAAACAATATAAATGATTTAATTTGTAGTTTTTCCTTCAAATTAACTGAACCACCTAATTACAAAATAATTTAATTAAATAATATAATATTTTTTATTTTTTAGATATTTTTTATAATTTTTTGATAAAATAAAAATATAATATATTTTTATACAAATTGTATTTTAAGGTTTCCTTTCTTGTTTTACTTTTCCTATTTCTTTAGTATAATATTTTTTTCATAGTTGTAATATAATATGAATTGTATTAGATTTCATTATTTTATTTTATTTTTATATTATAATTGTACAACAAAACTTAATTAACTTAATTAAAAAATAGTGTCACCTTAAATAATTCCTTATGCATACAAAAGCTCAACTCTCACAACTCTTTACTTTTTAAAGCAGGAATAGCATGAACTTCCGTCTTCGTTGTCTTATTAGTTTCTTTTTTTTTTTTTTTTGCCCTCTTCTTAATTCTTACTTCAATCTAGTGGTTGATACTATCATTTTGTTATCTATGATGTTATTGTGCCTGATAATTGTGTTTTCTATAGTTTGATGATATGAATTTTTTACCTAATGAAATACATTTAAAATAGTGTTAAAAATCAATTAATTCAGTATAATCACACTGATCTGATCTAAGTTGAATTAGTTTGGTTATGATATAATAATAGATTAAATTGGTTTGAAAATTTTACTAATAAATTAAATTGGTTTAATTTTAAAAATTGCTAAAATCTAATCCAATCTACACTGTGATCACATCTATTTAAGGGCAAAATATGTAAAAATAGAAATTATCTCCAAATTCTTAATCTAAAAATAAAATAAAAATACTATAATTCTAAAACAAAAAGAATAATATGGAGCACTATACAAAAATGGCACATATCTCTAGATTATATATATTTATTTATAGAGAAGGAATTTACTTATACATAAGTTTTACACATTATATTTACACAAAATTTTAACTATTCATTTCTTCACTTTTAATGGTTGAAATTTATTTACATTTATGAAAGATGATTATCTTTTTTATTTTAAAAAAATCATAATAAATCTCAACCATTAAAAATGGAGAAATGAATTATTAAGATTTTGTGTAAGTGTAGTGTGTAAAATTTGTGGGTGAGTAAATCCATTTGCACACTAATTTACATACCAAACTTACACAAATCTTGACCATTTATCTCTTTACTTTTAATAGTTGAGATTTATTCACATTCGTTAAAAATAATTATTGTTTTCATCTACAAAGTTATGATAAATCTTAACTATTAAAAGTAGAGAGATGAATTGTTGAGATTTTGTATAAGTGTGAAGTGTAAGATTTGTGCATAAATGGATTTCTACTCATCTTTAATAAATTTGATAAAAAGTAAATAAGTCTCAATTATTTAAAGTGGAGAGATAAATGGCTAATGTTTTAGGTAAATGTGGTATGTAAAATTTATGAGTAAATGGATCCTTACTCTCATATATATATATATATATATATATATATAGGAGGGATTCATTCACATATAAGTCTTACACTACACTTATATAAAATCTCAACCATTTATCTTTGTATTTTCGCTGGTTGAGATTTGTCACAACTTTTTAGATAAAAAAAGATAATTATTTTTAATAAATATGAATAAATCTCAACCATTGAAAGTGAAAAGATGAATTGTTGAGATTTTGTGTAAATATACTGAGTAAGACATGTGTATAAGTGTAACGATTTATTTACATATAAATCTTATGTACCACACTTATACAAAATCTTAGTCATTCAACTCTTCATTTATAATAGTTGAGATTTATTCATATTTATTAAAGATAATTATTTTTTATTTAAAAAGTTATGATTAATCTTAACCATTAAAAATAATTAAAGAAATAAATTGTTGAAATTTTATATAAATGTAGTATGTAAGAATTGTGTATAAATGAATTCCTACTATATATATAAGTGCCATTTTAATTTGAATAGAGAGAAATGTGAGGATGGGGAAGAATAAACGAAAAGGAAAAAATATTTTTTTTTTTTTGAAAAGCAAAAAGAAATTTATTAAGTGAGTACAAGGGGTACTCAAACCCATTGACATCAATAAACAAATTACATCCAGGAAGTGGGTCAAACCACAATAACCCCAGGTATTCCCAAAACAGGAAACTTGGAGCTCAACACCCCATCTACTCCCTACTTCCTATTTGTCAAGCAACTCACAGGGTTGGTAAACCATTCTATGAGGGAAAAATTTTCTAATTTCAACATAGTTCTAACCCAATGGAATGATCGGGTTTGTACAAGTTCAAATAGCGAGTCCTCATTTACCTTCTTGTGTTGAAAGGCTGTTTCATTTCTACTCAACCATAATGACCATACTATTGTGAACCATAACATATTCCAGCCTTTTTTCATAATTTTTTAGCCCTTATGCCAACTGTGTTGGTTGTAAACATCAAGACAATTATTCCCAAGAACATAACATAATCCCCACCAATTTAGACATTTAGACCATAATTTGAATGAGATATTGCATGACACCAAAAGATGATCTATATTTTCAGGGGATTGATCACACCAAAAACAATTTATACCTTGGTTGTCATCCAAAATGCCTCGCTTTGCCAAGTTGGCCTTTGTGGGGATTTTGTCAAGAAGCATTTGCCATGAAAAAGCTGCCACTTTTGAAGGGACTTGCGCACTCCATATATTTTTGTACTCCATCAGTGTACTTTCCTCTTTCTTTGCCAACTGCTTGTAAGCTGACCTTGTGGTGTAGTTTCCTTCATTGTCAGGCCTCCATCTCCAGGTGTCTTTCACGTTCTGCACTAGTTTTATGTGATTTATGGTCCCAATCAACTGTTGTATTTTTTCCTCCTCCCATGCTCTAGTTGATCTTCTCCATTGGAATCTCCAACACTAGCGTCCATCAAACCAATAACCTCGATCATATATGCTGCAATTTTTGTCTGTGTCCAACAAAAACAGTCTTGGAAAAACATTAGCTAAAGAATCCTCCCCCACCCAAACATCTAACCAGAACCTGACACTCTTCCCATCCCCTAATTTTAAGTTGAAATTTGAGAGCAACCACCCAGCCTTGTTACTTGATTTTGTATTCAATTTGCAAATATCATTCCACCATGGCGATCCTATTCCCCTACCCTCTTTCATCCACGATAACCAATTTCCTCCTTCGCCACCATATTTTTCTAATAGCACCCTCGACCACAACCCCTTATCTCCTCCTATTAATCTCCCCCACCATTTCCCGAGCAATGCCATATTGAACCATCTAAGATTTTTCACCCCTAACCCTCCCTCTTTTTTTTCGCAGCAGACCCTCTCCCATGCTACCCAAGCTATCTTTCTACCTTCCCCAACTCCACCCCATAAGAAATTTCTCCTAATTTTATTGAGCTCGCGGATTACCCGTTTAGGGAGAAGGTGTAGCGACATCAGGAACACTGGCAGGCTGGACAACACAGAGTTTATGAGGGTGATTCTTCCGCCAAGAGACAAGAATTTGCCTTTCCAAACTGAGAGTTTTCTTCTGAAGGTTTCGATTAAGGGTTTTCAAGTATCTATTCTCCTTGGGTTTGCTCCCAAAGGCATGCCCAGGTATTTACAGGGAAGGGAGGCAGTTTTACAATTCAGCAACCATGACATTTTTCTCGTCCATTCTTCATCAGTATTGACTCCAATTAAAGAGCTTTTTCTGTAATTTACCTTCAGGCCTGACACCAGTTCAAATGCCCTCATGATGCATTTAATCATCCATATGTTGTCTTCGGTTGCCTCTCCCATAAAGATTGTGTCATCTGCGAATTGTAGATGGCTAATCTCTAACTCCCCGTCTCCTATTTTTACTCCACAGAAATAACCCTTTTCTATTGCTGTCGAAGTTAGTCCATTTAGAGCTTCTGCCACCATTAAGAACAGAAATGGAGATAGTGGATCTCCTTGTCGAAGCCCTCTTGACATCGAGAACTCTTTGGTAGCACTTCCATTAACTAACACGGATAAAGTATTCGATCTTAAACATTCAGCCATCCACTCCCGCCATACTTTGTCAAAGCCCATTTTCTCCATCATGTAGTCCAAAAAAGACCAGCTCACCTTATCATATGCCTTTTCGAAGTCAATCTTGAATAGAAAACACTGGGATTTTCTCTTCCTCACCTCATCAATTGCCTCGTTTGCCACAACAACACTGTCAACCAGTTGTCTTCCTTCGATGAAAGCAGATTGATTCTCCCCTATAATTGTGTTTAATACTCTGCTGAGTCTGTTTGCTAACACTTTGGCAAGAATCTTATACATGCAGCCAATTAAGGAAATGGGTCTATACTCTTCAATGCCTTGAGGATTCTCTTTCTTCGGTATCAAAACCAGGAAAGAAGCATTAGAACCCCTTACCATCCTTCCATTTGTGTGAAAATCCTTGAGGAAGACCATGATATCTGCTTTAATCACCTCCCATTCATTTTTTATAAAGCCAAAAGTAAAACCATCCGGTCCCGGTGCTTTGGTGCTGTCACAATTCCATACTGCCGCTTTTACCTCTTCTTCTGTAAAAGGTTCAATGAGCATGCTTCTGTCCTCCTCTGAAATAGATTTGAAGCTTAGCCCCTCTAACGTCGGTCTTTGCCATCCCTCATCAGAGAATAAATTTGCAAAATACTTCATAACACCCTGCTTTATGTCTTCAACTTGTCTCAGCTCTTTGCCTTCTACCGAAATTACATTTATTTCATTTCTACGCCATCTCCCTCTGATGCAATTGTGGAAAAAACTGGTGTTAGCATCTCCTGATTTCAGCCAAGTTTTCCGAGCTTTCTGTTGAGCCATCTCTTCTTTCATCTGCATATTCTTTAGCAACTCAGTGTAGTGGGAGCTTTTGAAAATAACATCTTCATTTGACAGATTGCTTGTTTCTCCTTTGCCATCAACTCTGTTTATCTCTTCCCTGGATTGCTCAATTTTTCTGTCCACTTCCTGTAAATTGGACTTTGACCACACTCGGAGAAAGTCAAAAGGAAAAAATAATTAAGAGTGTTCTATTTATTTTAGCAGAGTACTTCTAACATTTATTGAGAATTAATTGTTAATTAATTAATGTTCTTCTTAAGGAAGGAGCAGTTAAGGACAAGCTCAGGTCTAATGCCATTTTATTGAAGAATAATTAAAAATGTGGTATACAAAAGTACAATATTTATCTAGTTATAACTGGTCAATCACATTGTGGTCCAGTAAGGGAGTGTAGCATGTAAGTCTTGACTTCCAGCTTGTTCACTAACTTTCTTTTAAAGAGATTTTACAATTAAATATTGCAAGTTTATCATCTCCCACTAATTTTCTTTTTAAAAAAAAAAAAAAAACTTATTCTTCCTCTATTCCACTTTAATGGGTGTTTTAGGAGATTTTCTTTTGTTCTATTTTATTTGTCATTTTCAGGTTTTAATATAACATTATTAATTACCTTTCTATTTTATCCTTTAACCATCTTTAACTATGTTTCTATTTTGCCCTCAAATATTAATTATCTCTTTTTTTTCTTTGAAAAAAAAGGTAAAAAATGAATTCTAAAATGACAAATTAATACTTTAAATATATCTATTTTTAAAATAAAAAATAATTTATTACTTTCATTAATTCTAGTACTCATTCCTAAAATGTCAAATAATGTGAAATGGAGTATACCATGGGGACATTATTCCCTTCTCTTGTCACGGTTCCGTTTGTTGGTCAAACTGAAACATTAATGTTTAATTTGATTCTGGATAGCTAGCTGGCTACCTCAAATTAAACGTTAGCATAAAATCCACGTTTTTTTTCCATGAATTGAGAGGAAAACGCAAACTCAGCTAATTTCTTTGTCAAAAAATCAATGTTCTGAGTTTTTCCATGTATATATGGAGTAAATTAACTGCAAAGTCAGTTTTTCTTTTTTTTGATCAGCAACTGCAAAGTCAGTTATTGCAAATTTGTCAAATGTTAACGAGTTTTCTATGGTGATTTGGACTCGGGAATTTTTTTTTCAATGATTTTGGATCAAATTGCAATGTGCAAGTTAATTAATTTGTCAAAGATTAAAGTTTTCCGCGCTGATATTTGCACTTGGAAATTTTGCTTCATGCATATGGAGAAAAACCGCAAAGTCAGCTACTGCAAATTTGTCCAATTTTTAGGGTTTTCCATATGATGATTTAGACTCTAGCTATCAATTTCAACCTAGTAAAACAGGTCAAGCATTCACACTGCAACTTCTTGTTCTTCTCTGTCAACTTGAAACTCTTATTTGTAGTAATATTTTCAAAATGTATTAAGTTCAATTTTTTTAATAAGTTAATAAGCAGGAAATTCTATATTAAAAGGTTAGTCATAAGGTTTATAAAACGAAAAAAAAAAAAAAAAAGGTTAGTTGTAAGGAAACATTGCACTTACCCCTTGTGGTTTTGGGGTCGTCATGTATTTACTCTAGATCACAAAAATATTGTTAAAATTTGACATGTGAGTTTTTAACACAAAACTTACATTTTCTCTAAAAAGTAGTTGGTTGTTGGTGTGCCTTTCAAAAAAAAAAAAAAAAGTTGGTTGTTGGTGAAATATACCTCTTCATATTTAATTCACATACATGTCTCTTTGATGTTTGTTTCATTCTGGGATTTTTTCCACTTAACATACCTTTTTTATGTACACATTAACTAAGGATGAATTCTGAGTCTTATCCTGTCGATATCTAGCCACAAACTTAAGGCCCTCCTTATGTGTAGTTTTGATCTGTCATTTAATAAATCTAAATTAAAAGAGAAGGAAAAAAGAAAAAAAATTAATTAGAAAAAATTTTGAGTTAGAAAATGACAATTAATTATTCTGAAATAGATGATGTACATACTTTTTATTTTTTTTTCAAAATCTAAGTAGTCTTCCCCCCACCCCCTCCTAACTATTCTCCGTGGTTGCTTGTCATTGGCAAACTTTGTATATTACACCTTTAGGGGTGTTTGGTTGGAGAGCAACTTTCTCCTTAAATTTTTTTAAATTTTTTTTATAAGATTATTTATATATTTTTACATATTAATATTATGATTAAAAAAAAGGGTAAGAGTAGCATTTTTAGTATTTATTTTTTCTTATACAATTTTGAATTCGTAAATTATTTTTCTCACCTATTTTAAAAGACAAAAGTTTCTCAATAGCTTTCTATATATTAGACCCACTTAACAACTTTTTTTACTTTCTCTGTATTAAATTCTTACCAAACACAAAAAGTTATAACCCAATAAAATTCTAACAAAATTTTATTACAAAATTTAACAATTTTTTGTACAATATTTTTTAACTTTATGTATAATATTTCCTAATAACTTTTTCAATAACAATTTTCTTAATAAAATGACTCTCTAACCAAACATACTCTTAAAGAATTATGGATTTTAAAGTCAACTTTTAAAGATTCAAATATAATGTCTTTGAATTTTTTTTTTTTAATACATCAGATGATTAGTTGTTTAGCATAACAAGAATTTGAATCCTTGATCTTAATTTCAAATTAAGATTTTTTTAATTTAATAAATACTAATTTAGCTAAGTTATTGTTGGTTTTAAATCAGTTTATAGCTTTATGAAAAACTTCAAACTCTCCAAACAATCCTAGGGCAGAATGAGAGGATTTGGTATCCTTATTACCTTTAGTTATTTTTTATCCAATTCCTTAGGCACACTATACATACAATGAGAATGCAAAATAAAAGATCAGACTGTTTCGTGTACAAAGGTTGTCTGTTTCGTATAAAAAGGTTAGGGGTAAAAAATTGGAAGTCAAGTAGTCAAGAGAAACATACCAAAATAATAATAATAATAATAATAAAATAGTCAAGAGGAAGTCAACATATCTTTGACCAGATTTTTGGACAATCATCTACGCGCTGTGGAGGAGAATCCGTGTCCAATGTTGGTGCCTGCAACATTACGCCGAAACGACCTGGAACCGAAACATCTAAAGTGAAAATCGCGGAAAGGGGTTAGTTTGAAAGAAATTGTCATGCGGTTAAGGCGGTGGTGCGTTGTGATTTATTTTTTATTACTATTTTTTTTTTTTTTTTGAACATGGAAAATTTGGGAAGAAATGGAGTATTCTCTACCAATTAAACCCTCAAATTCACTCTCCATAGAAATATAGGGGCAGATTTATTTATTAAAATTATTTTTTAAAATTATTAATAAAGATAAATTATTTATTGTTTAATATATAATATTATCACACATCAACTTTTTATTATTTAAATATAAAAATTTATCATCTTCACCTCTAACAAAAGAGGAAATGACAGGAAAAGAAAATAAAAAGATGTTATCTTCTTCCTTTTTTTTTTCATTTATCTTAAACCAAATAAAGTATTAGACTTAGGAATGAACCAACTATTGCGATGGGCTTACTTTGCTACGTAGTATGAGTAATTATTTATTGTATAAATATTGTATAAAAGTAGGGGTATATATATGTATTTTTTTTTTCAACAGAGTTTTAAATTGAAAGTAAGAGGATTTGAATCTCAACTTTCAAATTCAAAGATACACCTTATAAATTGACTTTCAAATTCAAAGATACACCTTATAAATTGACTTACGACCATTCAACCATGATACGCAAGTCTTTGTTTTTCTTTTCTTCCTTGTTACAAAGAACTAAAGAATTTTACGTATGCCCAAAAAAACTACTATCTATTTATAAGTATTAAACAAATCTTACTTTTTAAAAATAATGAATATAACACATTTACAATTTTAACTTTACTTTAAAATAATATTTTTTATTAATGAATTAAACATAATGAGTTATTTACTTATTTATTTATTTTGACATTAGCTAAATATTTATTTATAAACTCTATTTTTGAGCACCGTGAAATTCATGCCAAAAGCTTTTTTTACTAAATACAAAATATATTCAAAATTTACACTTGAAGATAAGGATAATGATAAATAAAATTAAAATCTAAAATTAATGATATAATATAAGTTATGTTATTTAAAATATTAAAAAATAATTTTTTATATTATTTTTAAATTAATTTTTTAATTTATAATATTATATATTAATTAATTTAATAATATAATATAAATTATATTATTAATTTCAATTTTTTATTTTAAATTTTTATCTTTTCTATCAAGTAAGGACAAACCTTGTCGTCCTCTCTATCATTGTCCAGAGGACAAACTTTGTTACGTAATTTCACCGTTTCTGCTGCACACACAAAAATGGAGATTTCGTAGGCACATGCAGGCATGTCTAATCATACGAGCACGTCTATACTTTCCACGCGTTGATATGATGGTCAGATGCGCGGACAACGAACCTCCACCCGGTCTTTTGCCCTTTGCCTTTGCTAGACCTTTCCACGGTATTACCTAGGGGATGTAATTTTCAGAGCTCTCCTGTTTTTAGTAAAAAATTAATAAATTAAAAAATTTATTGAATTTAATTTAATTTAAGCATTTAATTTATGATTATAAATTATATTTTTTATTTATTTTTAATTTTAGACTGATATTAAAATCTAGTTACAAATTTGTACTTAACCTTTTAGATCTAATAATATTAATTACATTAAAAAAAGATACACTTTTTCCTCTCTTTTAAGTTTGGATTTAATTCCGTCCTTTATAAACATATTAAAAAAAAAAAAGAAGTTAAGTTACAAACCTAAACCAACACATTTGGGCTTAACATAACTCTTTAAAATATCAATAAATATTTTTATTATAAAATAAGAAAATATAAATAGTTAACTAGGACAAGAACAAATTCTATCTCGCAAAAAATCACAGTGAGAATGAGGGAAAAACGTTTCCCAATTAACCTTGTAAAGCTCCACTACCATCCCTGACATTCTCGGTCAATATTTTTTTCTTTTTTTGGGGTGAGGGGAGAGAGTCTATATTTGAATTACATCGATTTCAAATGTCTAAATCTATGGCCATGTCTGATCTTTAATTTGGTGTGGAATTGCCATTGGCTTTAGTTAAATTGTAGACTATACATAATGTGAATAAAGAATTTATAAAATAGACATTTTCATAAAATTTTTAAAGAAAACAAAGGTTCAATGCAGTTCACATTAATTTTCTTTTGGATGATACATACGCGTATTTCAGCTTTGGTTTGAATATGATATATGAATTCTATAAATGTGCAAAGGAGGTATTTATTGCACGTAGGGATTCCATTTATGTACTTTTTGACTTTTTTTTTTAATACTTTTTAAAGAACTAAAAGACGAAAGAAACAAAAAAAAAACAACTGCTGTCCTTTTTTCTTAGAAAATCGGGCTTGAGTGGCGTCCAGTCCACTGTGAGGAAGTTCATTGGGCTTCAGCGTTTTTAATCCAAACATGAAACATCCCCTTTCGGCCTTTTCAATCTGAACCAGGCCAGCCAACCTTTATAAGCCCAAATCAAGACAGGATTCAATCCTATATAAACGGGTTTCATCACATCTAGTGGTTTGGGGTTCCGTTTTCTGCAATATCTGGTTCTCTCCTCCTCAAGTATTAGCACTTCTTCTCTTCTTCTTCTTCGCTTTGTTGTTTTCTATTTTCCTGTTTTTGCTCCATCTGCTTGTCTAAAGCGCAGCCCTTAAGATCGCCTTCCACAGGCAACCATGGAAGCGTTTCAAGTCATAGCTGCTCGACACCTAACCCTCCATCTTCAGGGTTTCTCTTCAGGGTTTTCCTCTTGAGTCCCTTGATTTCCCTCCCTGTTCTTCACTCGCCAGGCATCTACTACATCCGAACTTATAACTTCCCCCATTTTTCGGGACTCTAGGATTCTATAGTCTTCAGTGGTTTCCCATTTTAGATGCCCTGCCCTCAGGTGAGAGACAGACAGTTTACTAGTATCTTAATTCAATTTCATTTCTAACTGAAGTTTCTTCTCTATTTTATATTATAAGTGTTGCTACAAATGGCAAGAGTCATGAATCAATTAGGTGTCTGAAATCTGAATGGAACTTCTTTTCCATTTTGAACTCATCTTTTGAGGCATTATTACATACATTGTCTGACTTGTCATCATATTTTGTTATTTGGATATACTAAAAATTCATTTTAAAAAAATAATGAAATTCAAAGTATGTTTGGTTTGGATTGAAAGAGATTCAATCAAATTAAGTTTATGTTAGGTTTGACTATTTCAAAAACAGTACAACAGTGACATCATTATTCAGACAACTGCAAAAAAGTACAAGGGGGAGTAATAAAAATTGAAAAATCCACATGATCATATCTCTGAGATTGAAACTGATTTCTGTTTTCAAAATTATAGCAGCAAACCAGAAACTGACTTCATACTAATTACAACATCAGACAATTTCACCGTAATTCAAACCAAACAAAATTCTGATCACAATCAAACAAGATGATATGATACAGTTTTACCTTTACCCAGATGAAGAAAGAGGACACTAATTAGCTGATCAATCAAGAAATCCGGTTTTGCGCCAAACGGCATTTCTCACCTGCCGTAGATCCCTACCTTTCAGAGTCCTTCCTGCTCCTTCAAGCACCGAGAACGTCGTCTTTGGCGACATTCCCGATCCTCTCGCCACCATCTCGTGTGGCGGGAGCATCTCCTCATCCCTGTCATCATCGTTATCCACTTCTAGAAACTTCTTATTCCTCTCTCTGGCCACAGCCATCGACAGCAACGGCACGTTCACCGGAGCCGACTGTTGCTGTAACTTCCTAGTGCCAGAAAGCCACTCCCTCTCCTGCAGAGGTGGCCTCGGGATCGACGTACCCATTCTGGTGGTTAACGGTATAATCGGCTTTCGGTACAGCACTTCGTACCGCTTCGTCTCGGATAATGCAGCGAGGATACCGGAATTGTGCGCGAAAATCTGGCGGCGGTTACTGGTACTGCTGGTGATGGTCGAATTCTGCTCCTCTTGTAATTCAGTGACGTCGTTGGTCCAGAAAATATCGTCCTCGTTCAGCTCGTCGCCGCCGTTGTTAGCTTCAACAGCGGAAGAGGAAGAGGAAGAGGAGGAAGAGGAGAAGGAGGAGGAGGAGGAGGAGGAGATGCCGAGGAAACGATCCATGAATCGGCAGTTGACTCACTGAGTCACGAAACAAGGGAAGAAATTAATGGTGGATTGATGATGAGGCGGAGGGCCGCAGATGCGGAAGTAATTAAGTGGAGGAATCAGCGGGGAGGGGGCAGAATAATGAAATGGAAAGGGAAGTGAGGTGAGGTAGCGTTTGGGAATTGGAGAAGTTGGGTTGGTGGGGTCCATTGGGTCATTTTATTACTGACGTGGCCTGTAATTTTCAGAAATGGGTCCCAGTTGCTGAAATAAGTCGCATCGAACCTTATCATGCACCTACGACATCTCTCCCCCTTGGAGGTTCGGTACTTTGTTCGCCACTGGAGTAGTCTCTCCAATTGTTTTTCGCCACGTTCACTACATTTTGTTTGTTTCTGTGTGTTTTTTTTTTTTTTTTTGGTAGAAATCTGTGTGTTTGGTTAGTTGTCAACTAAAGAAAGTTTTTTATCTTATCGTGTAGAAAGCGCTGAATAAATCTAATATAGAAAAAAAAAGTTATAAAATTTTTTTATATCTTTAATAAAAAAAATTTTATTTATATATTTAGAGTAAAAAAATAAAGAAAAAAGAAAATTTTTTATTAATCTAATTATAACATTATAATTTGATTGGTTAAATTTTTTTTCTCTTTATTTCTTCTTATCTAAATATATTATATAAGTTAAAAATTATATTTAAAAAAATAAATATTAAAAATATTTTATTTTTTTTTATTATAATTTTAACACATATAAATACCAAAATATCTTTAAAAAATTCTTGAAATGGCGGTACTTACTGGAAAAGTCTGGTGGGAAGAGGTTGCACTTCAAAGCCTGAAACAAGCTTACGTGGCCCAATGAAAGGGGAAGTGTTGGCCGGAGAGTGCAAGAGGCGAGTGCCCCTAGCACTGCTCTAAGGTTTTTTGATAGCCAATGACTTAAGGTTAAGGTAATGATGGGTTTGGCAGTTTGGAATATTATC